TGTATTTATATATTCTACAGAAGAAAGTACATTTATTTATATATTCTACAGAAGAAAGTACATTTATTTATATATTCTACAGAAGAAAGAACATTTATTTATATATTCTACAGAAGAAAGTACATTTATTTATATATTCTACAGAAGAAAGAACATTTATTTATATATTCTACAGAAGAAAGTACATTTATTTATATATGCTACAGGAGAAAGTACATTTATTTATATATTCTACAGGAGAAAGTACATTTATTTATATATGCTACAGAAGAAAGTACATTTATTTATATATTCTACAGGAGAAAGTACATGTATTTATATATTCTACAGAAGAAAGTACATTTATTTATATATTCTACAGGAGAAAGTACATTTATTTATATATGCTACAGAAGAAAGTACATTTATTTATATATTCTACAGGAGAAAGTACATGTATTTATATATTCTACAGAAGAAAGTACATTTATTTATATATTCTACAGAAGAAAGTACATTTATTTATATATGCTACAGAAGAAAGTACATTTATTTATATATTCTACAGAAGAAAGAACATTTATTTATATATTCTACAGAAGAAAGTACATTTATTTATATATTCTACAGAAGAAAGTACATTTATTTATATATTCTACAGAAGAAAGTACATTTATTTATATATTCTACAGAAGAAAGTACATTTATTTATATATTCTACAGAAGAAAGTACATTTATTTATATATTCTACAGAAGAAAGTACATTTATTTATATATGCTACAGAAGAAAGTACATTTATTTATATATTCTACAGAAGAAAGAACATTTATTTATATATTCTACAGAAGAAAGTACATTTATTTATATATGCTACAGAAGAAAGAACATTTATTTATATATTCTACAGAAGAAAGTACATTTATTTATATATTCTACAGGAGAAAGTACATGTATTTATATATTCTACAGAAGAAAGTACATTTATTTATATATTCTACAGGAGAAAGTACATGTATTTATATATTCTACAGAAGAAAGAACATTTATTTATATATTCTACAGAAGAAAGTACATTTATTTATATATTCTACAGAAGAAAGTACATTTATTTATATATTCTACAGAAGAAAGTACATTTATTTATATATTCTACAGAAGAAAGTACATTTATTTATATATTCTACAGAAGAAAGAACATTTATTTATATATTCTACAGAAGAAAGTACATTTATTTATATATGCTACTGGAGAAAGTACATTTATTTATATATGCTACAGAAGAAAGTACATTTATTTATATTTTCTACAGGAGAAAGTACATGTATTTATATATTCTACAGAAGAAAGTACATTTATTTATATATTCTACAGGAGAAAGTACATTTATTTATATATTCTACAGGAGAAAGTACATTTATTTATATATGCTACAGAAGAAAGTACATTTATTTATATATTCTACAGGAGAAAGTACATGTATTTATATATTCTACAGAAGAAAGTACATTTATTTATATATTCTACAGAAGAAAGTACATTTATTTATATATTCTACAGAAGAAAGTACATTTATTTATATCTTCTACAGAAGAAAGTACATTTATTTATATATTCTACAGGAGAAAGTACATGTATTTATATATTCTACAGAAGAAAGAACATTTATTTATATATTCTACGAAAGAAAGTACATTTATTTATATATTCTACAGAAGAAAGTACATTTATTTATATATTCTACAGAAGAAAGTACATTTATTTATATATTCTACAGGAGAAAGTACATTTATTTATATATGCTACAGAAGAAAGTACATTTATTTATATATTCTACAGGAGAAAGTACAATTATTTTTATATTCTACAGAAGAAAGTACATTGATGTATGTGGCCCACAGAGGAAAAATAATTATTTGTCTATGGCGTACAGAATAAAATATTTTGATGGTCAACAGACGAAACATAGTTCAGATAGAAGAAACATCGTTCACGCGGTCGAAATGAGAATGTGTGATTTGTCTTTCTGTCTGTAGAAGATATTAGTGTCTTCATGTTCTTCGTTAAAATCATCATTTGTTTATATAGTCTACAGAAAAAAGTAGCACGATTACAGAAAAAGCATAATTTATCTATAACAATAGAGAATGAAAGACCTCGTTCAAGCGATCTTCTAAAGAAAAGATTATTTGATTGGAGAATTAAGCATAATTTAGTCAGTGTACTGAAGAAAGGATCATTTGTTTCTTCAGAAGAAATCATAAACACGAAAACATAATGTTTTTAAATGGACTTCAGAAGAAAGCATCATTCTACTGAAGAAAGCATCATTCTACTGAAGAAAGCATAATTTTACTGAAGAAAGCATCATTCTACTGAAGAAAGCATCATTCTACTGAAGAAAGCTAGTTTAAATTACCTTTAAAATACAACGCGATTCAAAGAAATGTTCAAAATTGATTGCCATGCATGGTCTGCAGAAGAAATTCTTTGGTTCACATGAGCTGTACAAGTAAGCATGGTTAGAGGGTCTACAGAAATATAATGTTCAAAAAGCCTGCATAAGAAACAATAATTTTCTTCTAGGGTTTACAGAAGAAAATAACATTTCTGATAATTAGTTGATAATTTGACTGATAGAAAGAAGCGTCATTTCTTTATTTAGCCTGAAGAAGAAAGCACTGTTCAGACGGTCTATTGAAAAAAGCCCTGTTCAGACGGTCTGTAGAAGAAAGTACTGTACAGACGGTCTAAAGATGAAAGCACTGTAGAGACGGTCTATAGAAGAAAGCACCGCACAGACAGTCTATAGAAGAAAGCCCTGTTCAGACGGTCTATAGGAGAAAGCTATGTACAGACGGTCTATAGAAGAAAGCACTGTAGAGACGGTCTATAGAAGAAAGCACTGTTCAGACGGTCTCTAGAAGAAAGCACTGTTCAGACGGTCTATAGAAGAAAGCTTTGTACAGACGGTCTAAAGAAGAAAGCACAGTTCAGACGGTCTATAGAAGAAAGCACTGTTCAGACGGTCTCTAGAAGAAAGCACTGTTCAGACGGTCTATAGAAGAAAGCTTTGTACAGACGGTCTAAAGAAGAAAGCACAGTTCAGACGGTCTATAGACGAAAGCACTGTTCAGACGGTCTATAAGAGAAAGCACTATTCAGACGGTCTATAGAAGACAGCACTGTTCAGACGGTCTTTAGAAGAAAGCGCTGTTCAGGCTGTCTATAGAAGAAAGCAATGTTCAGTGTTCAGACGGTCTATAGAAGAAAGCACTGTTCAGACGGTCTATAGAAGAAAGCACTGTTCAGATGGTCTATAGAAGAAAGCGCTGTTCAGGCTGTCTATAGAAGAAAGCACTGTTCTGTGTTCAAACGGTCTATAGAAAAAAGCACTGTTCAGACGGTCTATAGAAGAAAGCCCTGTTCAGATGGTCTTTAGAAGAAAGCACTGTTCAGACGGTCTATAGAAGAAAGCACTGTTCAGACGGTCTATAGAAGAAAGCATTGTTTAGACGTTCTATAGAAGAAAGCACTGTTCAGACGGTCTATAGAAGAAAGCACCGTACAGTACTGGACTAGAAGAATGAATCGTCTAGGTGGTCTATAGAAGTAAGAATCGTCTAGGTGGTCTATAGAAGTAAGAATCATCTAGGTGGTCTATAGAAGTAAGAATCGTCTAGGTGGTCTATAGAAGTAAGAATCGTCTAGGTGGTCTATAGAAGTAAGAATCGTCTAGGTGGTCTATAGAAGTAAGAATTATTTAGGTGGTCTATATAGAAGTAAGAATCGTCTTGGTGGTCTACAGAAGTAAGAATAGTCAAGGTGGTCTATAGAAGTAAGAATCATCTAGGTGGTCTATAGAAGTAAGAATCGTCTAGGTGCTCTATAGAAGTAAGAATGGTCTAGGTGCTCTATAAAAAGTAAGAATGGTCTAGGTGCTCTATAGAAGTAAGAATTATTTAGGTGGTCTATAGAAGTAAGAATTATTTAGGTGGTCTATATAGAAGTAAGAATCGTCTAGGTGGTCTATAGAAGTAAGAATTATTTAGGTGGTCTATATAGAAGTAAGAATCGTCTGGGTGGTCTACAGAAGTAAGAATAGTCAAGGCGGTCTATAGAAGTAAGAATCATCTAGGTGGTCTATAGAAGTAAGAATCGTCTAGGTGCTCTATAGAAGTAAGAATCGTCTAGGTGCTCTATAGAAGTAAGAATGGTCTAGGTGCTCTATAGAAGTAAGAATGGTCTAGGTGCTCTATAGAAGTAAGAATCGTCTAGGTTGTCTACAGGAGTAAGAATCGTCTAGGTTGTCTACAGGAGTAAGAATCGTCTAGGTTGTCTACAGGAGTAAGAATCGTCTAGGTGGCCTACAGGAGTAAGAATCATCTAGGTGGTCTACAGGAGTAAGAATCGTCTAGGTTGTCTACAGGAGTAAGAATCGTCTAGGTTGTCTACAGGAGTAAGAATCATCTAGGTGGTCTACAGGAGTAAGAATCATCTAGGTTGTCTACAGGAGTAAGAATCGTCTAGGTTGTCTACAGGAGTAGGAATCGTCTAGGTTGTCTACAGGAGTAAGAATCGTCTAGGTTGTCTACAGGAGTAAGAATCATCTAGGTGGCCTACAGGAGTAAGAATCGTCTAGGTTGTCTACAGGAGTAAGAATCGTCTAGGTTGTCTACAGGAGTAAGAATCGTCTAGGTTGTCTACAGGAGTAAGAATCGTCTAGGTTGTCTACAGGAGTAAGAATCGTCTAGGTGCTCTATGGAAGTAAGAATCGTCTAGGCGGTCTATAGAAGTAAGAATCGTCTAGGTGGTCTGCAGAAGTAAGAATCGTCTAGGTGGTCTATAGAAGTAAGAATCGTCTAGGTGGTCTACAGAAGTAAAAATCGTCTAGGTGGTCTACATAAGTAAGAATCGTCTAGGTGTTCTATAGAAGAAAATAACACACAGGCAGTCTATCAAAATTTGGAAATGGAATCTACAAAGGCAAAACAAGTGTTTGTAGTTATAAGTATACTTACTGTGTTTGCTGTGCTTGATTTTTACTGTGAATATAAATTTAATACGTCAACATTATCCGAAAAGCAAAACGTGATGACAATTATACGAATGGATCTCTGAAAACCACTGATGACACTAGGTGTTCTCGAAAAGGGTAAGCAACACTAGGCATCTCCTGCTCTAACGGTAGAACACACCACTCACACAATGCTCTTTAAAGACGCTAGTGCCAATGAGTAAGCAAGTGTAAGAACACCCCGTTAAGGCCACAGTTTGGGAACGCATTGTCCACCATGTTGGCCAAAACAATTCACAGTTAGTACACTCCTCAGAAAGTCCACCATAACATTTCTGGAATGACTTAACCAGTCGTTGATGGTGACACTCTGATTAAAAAGCATAGATGTACAAATGTGTCTTACTGTTAAATTTGAGTACAATATACATGTACCTTGGTAACTGCTTAGGTCAATGGTATAGCACGACGCGAAGGGGAACTTACAATTGCAAAATCATTCCCCTTGCCGTACAGACAGTCGTCATTTTGCACAAATCCAGACAGAAACTGAATATGGTTTTTCATTTGTTTCTTTGGTCAACAACTGTGATGGACGCACGAAGTGACCGAACTCAGTTATCTTTCTTAACCAGAAAGTGGAAAGATCCTGGAACCTGCATTTGTTCACAGAAGTAGGTGGGCGGTCGGGTAGCCAAGTGGTTAAAGCGTTCGTTAGTCACGCCGAAGACCCGGGTTCGATTCAAAACATGGGTACAATGTGTGAAGCCCATTTCTTGTGTCCTCCGCCGTGATATTGCTGGAATATTGCTAAAAGCGGCGTAAAACCATACTCACTCACCCGAGTAGGTGTATGAGTTAATACAAAAACGCCCCTGATGTTGGCCAACCTGGGGTTTGTCACATGTTTATTATAGATTCTGACATTTTTCATCATCAATTTGATGTTTTGCCCTCATGTTAATTGTATCCTGCATCTACCTGCCACGGAATGTGGAGTTGTCTGATTTTAGACGTGCATTAACGGTGAAGAATTATTGGCTCATAATGTTTTTACCCTTCAAATATAGTCGGAGGTCGGGAAACCTGACAAATAGACAGGCGATTCAGTATCAGGACATATGTGAACGCTGACATATACTACTCAAAATAAGTCAAAGAACACCCGAGTTTTTCATGACTATAGTTAGTCTGTCATGATATGACAACTAAAGTCATGAAAAAATCGGGTGTTCTGTCATGACATGACAGATTAACTATAGTCATGAAAAATCGGGTGTTCTTTTACTTATTTTGAGAAGTATATATACGTCTGGGAAAACGTTCGTCGATACCCCTTCTGTCTTTCAAATATCCAGAACCTTCATGCATCTGTTGTGCCTATTCACATGGGACAGGGGGACGGGTGGCCCAGTCGTTCCTTGGTACGCCAGAAAAATGATTGTGGGTTCGAATCCCGGTTCATCCCGATTATGTTTCTAGGTTTGTCAGCACCATACCCGTGCTCGTGGGTTTCACCAAAGTGGTAAACGTCAGACCTGCATCACTTCGGGCCTTCCTCCCACATTAAGCTGACACGCCGCGATATAACTGGAATACTGTTAAAAGCGGCGTTAAACCCACCTCACTCACTCACTCACTCAAATGGGACACTGATTACATTTTGATGAATGTTTAAGATGTAACCAAATCCCGATCCATGATTGACGTAAGAACACGGTACGTTCCTCCTCATTGGGGCGGTCGGGTAGCCTACTGGTTAAAGCGTTCGCTCGTCACGCCGAAGACCCGGGTTCGATTCCCGACATGGGCACAATGTGTGAAGCCCATTTCTGGTGTCCCCCGCCGTGATATTGCTGGAATATTGCTAAAAGCGGCGTAAGACCACACTCACTCACTCACTCACTCACTCCTCCTGATGGCCGCCTTAGCCTGGGTCATATCTTATAAAGTCAAGAAGCAGAGAGTGAGTGAGTGATTTATAGTTAACGTCGCATCAGCATTATTTCAGCAATACAACGACGAGAACAAGTTGATAAATATGCAAATGAGTCATGAATACCAATTATATTTAAAAACAAATTTGTCAAAAATATTTATCATAACAATATTATTTACAGCTGTTTCAAACACGGCCTAAAAGCCATCGGCCACCTAGCTGGGGATCATGGTGACTTACAGTGCCTCAACTTCCTGCACGATACCCCATCAGGATGAAGCAGATGAAAGTTTTATCAAATAACTATTGTACATGAAGGCTTATGGTATGGAAGTCATTATAATGTTATTTGTTTGGGGGGTTTTCTTGAAATTTCGAGATCATTATCTTGAAATTTCAACTTAGTATATATCTTGAAATTGCTACTTAGTATATATCTTGAAATTTCAACTTAGCACCTTGAGATTTTAACATAACATTATAAATGTTAAGTTAGTATCTTGAAATTTCAAGAAAAAACTAAATAAACAAATGGCCCTAAAATGCTTCCGTAGAATAAGCCATGCACGGCTTGTTTCTGAATGTATGAGTGTATAGACTATAGTTGTTGGGGATTGTGGTGGTTCTGTGTAGAGAACACAGGTGAGAGTGGGTGACTGTGTTTGGCAGCTTGATTTCCGTGAGTTCTAGGGCTTTGGTCCTGACCCGCACTGAAGCACATGTAGCACAGGTGGTGTCTCCTTGGGCATGTGACTTTGTTCGAAATGTGCCTCTGTTCACCCAGCAGTGAATGGGTACCCGGTAGGATGGGATTGTAATGTGGCAGTTAACCTTTAGCCTGACGTGTATGCTACCCAGGGAGCTGAGACTATTTTCAGGTGTGGATTTGGGGCATTATAAACATACACTATGCTATGATTATAGGGACCGCCTCCGTGGTCTAGTGGTAGAGAGTCCGCCCGGAGAGCGGAAGGTCCGGGGTTCGATCCCCGACCGCGTCATACCAAAAGACGTTAAAAGATGGTACTTGTTGTTACCCTGTCTGGCGCTCGGCACTAAGGGGCTAAGACGAGGACTGGTCGGCTCGGAGTCAGTATATTGTGTCTGAGTGGGGTATTCATGTTAAACTGCGGCATGGTATCTCAGTGAGCTAGCACTATAAATCGGCATCAGTCCGGACTAGTTCAAGCAGCCACACACACACATACGTGCATGCACGTCGCTATATAAGTGCCATAATCTTAGAACGCGACGTTAAACCCCATTTCACCTCACCTATGATTATAGGTCCGATTAGATCCCTAGGTCCCTTTCCACGAAGCCATCTTACAGCTAAGATGATCGTAACTCCCATACTTTAACATAGGCTTACGCATAATGTTGGGTGGTCGGGTAGCCTTGTGGTTAAAGCGTTCGCTAGTAACGCCGAACACCCGGGTTCGATTCCAGACATGGGTACAATGTGTGAAGCCCATTTCTGGTGTCCCCCGCCTTGATATTGCTGGAATATTGCTAGAAGAAGGGGTAAACTAAACCACTCACGGACTATAACTAATGAAGCGCTAAAATCGCTTTGTGGGATTACCCCAGGTATGTTGCGTTTGTTGTGAGAGGCGACTTGGCGGATTGTGTGTCATCGTACCCCGACGGCGGGGATCGTTGTTCATAATATCAATCACTGGTTTGTTGGCCCAGACAGATATGAATTGAATTTCTGTTGATAATAACATGAGTTTCTGCTCTGATTAATAACTCACATATATATCTTATATTTATTTACGGGCGGTCGGGTAACCAAGTGGCTAAAGCGTTCGCTCGTCACGCCGAAGACCCGGGTTCGATTCCCGACATGGGTACAATGTGTGAAGCCCATTTCTGGTGTCCCCATCGTGATATTGCGGGAATATTGCTAAAGGCGGCGTAAAACCATTCTCACTCACTCACTATATTTATTTACAGTGTACATTCTGTCTGCTTTCGACCAGACACAGGTACTTCTTAAACATATGAATATGTTTTTGTCTTTAATATCGTACATTATTTAATAGTTTAATTTATTATTTGCACCTTAATCATTTCATCTAACCGCTAAGTTTATACATATAAATTATACAACAGTATATGTACAACCAAAGAACCATATATACTATTTGACCCGTGAAGATCACGGTAGAAAACAGGTCTTCAGCAACCCATGCTTGCTTGGAATATTTCTGAGTGCGGCGTTAAATAACAAACAAAAATAGAAACTGTCTATCTTGAACTCAAAACGTTGCATTCAAGATCATCTTCACAGATTACACGTGCGTGTTTTCATCAAACTACGCATGCATTCCTTATATATACATGTAGCAAAATTTCACGAGGTCCTTGCCTTGGTCATAATATTTCACTGGTTAGATTCTCACTAAAATATTCATGACCTGATTCAAAATACTGATCTATCGATAGGTTTCGAGTAGCATTCTTTAAAGTTTTATGAAGTCATTCGGTTTGTTATCAGTACCCATTACTGAGTGCTCAGCGACGAATGTGAACATATCGATATCATATTTCGACCGTTTTGTAATTTAAGAATTTGCATTGTTTGTCATGTTGTATCAAATTTGTAATTTAATAATTTTCATATCAACATGACACTTAATATAACACCGCCCGTATATATAAAGTTGAATGTTGTGGTCAAAGGACTAAGCTTGGCAGTCCAGCCCTGGCCTGTCAGACGTTTACCTTTTCGGTTACATGTGTTACAATACAACATGTCTGGTTCGGACAAACCGGGGACCTCAGTCTGTTTGTTTGTTGTTTAACGCCTCACTCAGCAATATTCCAGCTATATGACAGCGGTCGGTCAATAATCGAGTCTGGATCAGTCGCCTCTTAGACTCAAAGCCATGACCTGAGGGTGGCAGTTGGTTATGTGACCCGTGAAGATCCAGGGTAGAATAGGTCTTCAGAAACCCATGCTTGCCGCAAGAGGCGACTAACGGGATCGGGTGGTCAGGCTCGCTGACCTGGTTGATGCATGTGATCGTATCCCAATTGCGTGGATCGATACTCGTGGCGTCAATCACTGAATTGTCTTGTCC